GCAGCGGCTGGCTGGATTTTCTGGCCTGGCTTGGCCTGGCTGGTGAACTACAGTACTTCTGCATGGAGACTGCAGGGGGAAAAGCAGGCCCATAAGTTTCACAGCATGAGAGATGTTCTGCTGATACAGAGGGGAAGGCATTTAGTGGTTCTGCTTCCAGAATTTCCTGTTCAAACCAGTTGGTGTCTTGAAGGAAGTGGCAATTGGTTTTGCCAGTTGTGTGAGTCTCACTGTTTATCTAGTGAGAATCGCAATGCACATTCAGTTGCTGTGCCTTGGGAATGGCTTCACCTTACTCTAGTTATACATGATACATGAACAATAATTGGGTGCTGTCAAGTCAATTCTGATTTATGGCAACCCCTTTCAGTGTTTTCTAGGTAGGGAATACTCAGAAGTGGTTTACCATTCCCTTCTTCTGGTGGCTCTGCAGCCAGATACCCAAATCACTGAGCTATCCAGCCAGTGTTTTACACATATCGATTTTACAGAAGTACCACCTGTATTCTGCAAATTAGTCTCCTTTGTTCTGTGATGGGACATTGGGCAAACATAGGCTTCATTTGCAAATATGATTGCTGAGATATGAAGGTCTGCTGAATCCCAGAAACATGATTTCAGATTCGAATGATATGATATCTGTAATGTATAAGTGGAATACTCAGTGAGTTAGGTTTCTGGATGTGGAGCCGGAGGTTGGGAATTCAATTCCCCACTGTGCATCTCAGAACAGTCAGCTTGTGTGGCCTTGGGCAAGCTGCACAGTCCCAGCGTGCCTCAGAAGAAGGGCATGATAAACCACTTCTACCTAAAAAAACCCTGGAAAGGGTTGCTGTAAGTCAAAATTGACTGGCTGGCACATCATTATTATTAATGTGTAAGTTTGACCTCTAGCGAAAGATGGAGGAGGCAGCAAGGCAGTACAGAAGAGCAAGGTAGGAATGACAGCCGGACTTCACACAGAGAGGGCCCCTCTGCTTTCTCATTCTGCTAAAGACCTTTCTGCTGTACATGTTTCTTGTGCTGCCTAAAATACTCCGTATCTGGTTTTCATCATCATCCCGTATCTATTTACCTAGGTGTAAACTTCACTTAACAGAATTACCTCTGAGCAAGCATCATACGATTCTTCAACGTTGTAACCCAAGCAAAATTGTTCTAATAAAGTGTTTTAGATGTACAGTATGTTTCCGCCCCTACGGTGTCTTTCATGAGCCCAACTTGTAACACTCAAACTCTCATTTTCAAGATTATATTTGTTTGTTTTATAGTCTAAAGTGCTTCCTTCTGCATTCAAAAGATGTACTAATTTCACATTAATTAAAATGTAATAAACTGTTTGGAAATAAGGAAATGTGAACTGCATGAATTCACAGCTACTGTAACACTTGGACCACACATGGATATGTAATCTTTTCCAACCCAGAACATGGCAATATCAATTCTGCTTTGATATACTGTGGCATAAACCTGAGTTAAAATTACTTTGGGAGCTATAACTTCGAATATTCTGACTTTTGTGTGTGCAAATTCTCATTCATAATGTTGCCTTAATGTAACTAATGCCTTTCAGAAAGAGATTTAAGAGATCAAGTGAGGAAGTAAATGCAAGGAATTGCCAAGGCCAGTAAAATATGCAAGGAAAAAGGGGGCCCCATTGAAAAAGCTTGCTTTTTGCAAGCAGCTCCTCCCGAAGTTCTTTCAGGACTTTTTCTCATACTTTGCATAGTAGCCTTTAAAAGCACATTGCTTAATTGGCAAGGCACTGAAATTGCAGCCCCTATGAATGTTAGATGCTTTTGTTGTGGAGGGTGTGTGACAAACCCAGACCTACTGGGATCTATCACACAGTTACTAAGCTGCCACCAACCATTCCCTATAATAAGTCACACAGACCAGGGATGGATTTTTAAACAACAAAAAGAATAAAGTTTATTTTAAATACACACAGGGATAATACACAATCAGGTGAATAAAATAAAGTAACGTGGCTTATTCTCACACACACAAGCATACAGTTTGGTTCACCTAGAACCTTTAACTTAAAGCACAGACCCTGAACCCATCAGTTCTGGCTAACCAACAGACCCCTGAACCTTTCAGGTTGGTACTCTGACACACAGTAGTACCCTGTCAGACACACAGACTCCCACAACAGCTTCTTCTTCCCAGCTGCTGCTTCGTCCCAACCCAGTGTCTCACAGTTTGTCTCAGCATCTCCCTCACCACACAGGCATCACATATTTATACAGTACAGCCCCTCCTCCTGATGTCCCGCCTTCCACTCCCCATAGGATGGAACTTTCCCTCCAAACCCATGACAGACAGGTAACATCAGTGCTGTATGTAACAGGGTGAGCCTTTGTTCCTATAAAAGTTAACACCCTGAGGCTTTACTTTATTCATTAATTATCTAGTTTTGGTTAGAGGACCTTCCTGGCTTCTGAATATGTGATTCACTGGTCTGCATCCAGCGACAGTTAAGACTGGTGCCAAAAAGTGACCTCACTGCTGCTTAGGGGCCAGTTGCTTAACAAAAGATTTGACCACAGGGTAGGACCATTTGCCAGTCCTTCTAAGAGCAGCACGCCTTCCCGCCCCCTTCAAGACTGTATTCTATTTCTAGAAATGCCTGCATTCATATTTCTTCAGTGCGAGACAAGTGGCAATGCTTGGAGCCTATGGTATCTACTGCTCTTTTTCTATCACTTCAGCAGAGATTCTTAAAATTACTTTGATGATCCTTCTTGTTTATGTTTGATTGTTTATTTGTTTGTTTAAAAAAGCTAAATGGAATCTGAGCCTGCAAAACACAATCAAATGACGCTAACAACAATGATAAAATCAAAATTTCACAACGAGGGCCAGATAGCACCATATCTACAACTACACCTCAGAAGGTTTTAACAATAACAATATGCCATCAAGTCAATTTCAATGTAATGAAACGTTTTCCACTGTTTTCTAGCTGCTGAGTACTCAGAAGTGGTTTATCATTCTCTTTTTCTGGGGATCCTCTGGGACTGTGTATCTTGGCCAAGGCACAGAGGCTGGCTATTCTCCCAGGAGCAGGGAAACTCTTGATCTCTGGCTCTCTAGCCTGATACCCAACTTATAGGGCTAAGGAACTATGTATGTCTTCAGAGCGCACTGCAATCCTGCGACATCAACTGGAACAGCGTTCCAGTCCCCAGTATTTTCTGTGGGAATCCAGAGCAATGTGTCCTATGGTTAGATCAAACTTCTTCTCCCAACTACAGTAGATTATCTGAATCTTTCAGGCCTATATCAGTGATGATTTAAGGAACCCATTAATACAGGGAGGGCGATGCAAAGCCCTGGGATGACATGTGTCCCTCTTATTGCTTTTCTAATACTTGGCCCCTCAAACTCCTCAGCAAAAAATTGTGCACTGCTACTCCTGGAATTGTAAATCATCTTTTAAAATGATGTGATCCAGTGTTTAGTCAGGTTCTAGCAATCCCTTACCTCTCATACAATTTAACACCAAACAACATGCCTTTTTAGAAACTAGAGTTGGACTTCTCATTGCTTCCAGTTTTATTTTTCCAGTATTTTTTTAAAAAGATTTTTGACCCTCCATGTATTTCATGGAGAACCCCAACAGCAGGAAAGTGGCCTCTCAGTCAGACAAAGTTGCCTATTTCCGCATTCTTTAGTGTAGTTCTAGATCAGTTTAACAATTTGACCAGACTGTACAGGTTTGTGAACTGCTGGATAGCTCAGTGGTTTGAGCACCTAGCTCAATTCCCAACTGTGACTCCTTGACAGGGGCTGGATTCAGTGATTCATAGAGTCCCATCTCGTTCTGGAGTTCTAAGGTTATTCTTATGAACATCAATTAAAATTCTTATGTACCTAAATTGACAAAGCATTCAGCACACAGAGAATACTAGGAAGAAAGTAGACAATACAAAAGATTTCTTCAGATAGTGGGCCGTCAAACTGGAACTGACTTACAGTGACATACATACTTTAAACTGAAAACAAAAACTTGAGAAATTGTAACCATACTTGCTGTCTTGCTAAAGTAAAGGAAATGGCCAACTTTTTAAAAATATGATCAAAATGTTCATAATTTTGCATTCCTTTATTGTCGTTTGTGCCTGGAGTTATTATAGTTGGTGATTGTCAGAAATATGCCACCAAATTAAACAAATATACGCAGAACAAGTGTATCAGTTGTTAACATTTGGCTGTGAATAACAAATACTAGATGCAGAGAATATAATCTCTAATCCAAAATCTAAACAATATATTTCCAACATTTGTCCTCTAGATGTTTTTGGTCAGAATCCCATAGTTAGAAGAGGGATTATGGGAGATGTATTCTAAAACATCTGGATGATACCTGCTTGACAGAGACTCCAATAAAGAACACCCATCATCATCATGCTTCTCTGTCCAGATGAAATTTTACTTTACACCCCCCTGATACTTTCTTACAGTTGGTTCTGAATTATAGTATAGAATGAATATATGAAAGCAGGATTAATAAATTAGAAAATCAAACTTGAAGATTTTATATTTTGAGCTACAGTTTCCCAAATCTTACACAGCAGGCTTGTCAAGTTTTGACTCTAGCAACAATTCTGTCGTATAACTTGTTCTAATTTGTCCCTCCTCAAACAGATATCTTTGAATTGACCAAACATAGTTGTTTAATTTTAACAACAACAACAACAACAACAACAACAACAACAACAACAACAACAACGTGCCTTCAAGCCAATTCTTACTTATGCTGACTGCTTTCAAGGTTTTTAAGGTACCAGTACACTCTCAGAAATGGTTTACCATTCTCTTCCTCTGGGGGCGCCCTGGGGCTGTGCAACGTCCCAAGTGCAGGATCAAACTCCCAACCACTGGCTCTGCAGCCAGAGACTTAACTCACTGAGCTATCCAACCAGTTCAGTTGCTGATACACTATATTTAAAAATAATTAGTGTGGCAGGGGCATTACAGGAAATTTTGCTCACCTCTTTTGAAAATTTCATAGCGAATGGAGAATCCTGCTCCGTGAGTTTCATAATCAGAAACAAACTTGATTAAGAGGTATGGTCCTGTTGATATCACAGGAGGGGGAGCAATCTTGCCACAGAACTTTCCCCATACTCGCCCATTGGCGTTGTCTCCATCAATCACTTCAACATAATCGTACCTGGTAGAAAAATCGAAGAAATAAATAATTTAGGAACCATTGCCATACAACATACATAATGAAGAAAAATGCTAGCCTATTTGGAAGCTGCATTATGCTGAGAACTGCAAGCAGAATGAAATAATTAAAATGGACTACATCATGTCTGTAGACATCATCTGGCAATACAGAACTATTAGGAAGAATGGCACCCATTATGCTTACAGACAATGTCAGCTAAAGTAACCAATTAACAAGAAAAAGGAAATCTCACGAGCACAATTCTGTATTATTAAATTGCATTCCTTTGTCTATAGCAGCATTGTTATCAATACATAATACACAGAGTTCTTTTCATATGGAGAAGTTCTTGTCTGAATTCTAAAATATCTTTCTGGCTTTAATTTCTCTTCAATACTTTAATTTCTGTATGCAACTCTCCAAACATGGGTCCAGAGAAGAGAAAATGAAGCCCTCAATATTGTATGCTCTTATTATTCTACTGCAGATCATCCTTGATCATTAAATACCTAAGCACAATTTTAAAAAAATACCATGTGACTTTGAATATCTAGATAAGGGTAAGTGCATTACAAAAAAGCATCTGGTGTTAATTTTTGGTATTAGGAAAAAAATGTAACAATAAAATGTGACAGCCTTATAAACTCAAAGAGCAGCGTTATCAGTAATAGTTTGGCAGAACGGTGTAGCTTTCAACCTCAGCCCAGCTTCAACTTAAAAAGACCTTGAAGTTCTTATCTAATCCAGTCCTGGTTTGGAATTATTTTATCAGTGTTTCTACTTTCAAGTGAGTTAGAACCATAGCAGGCTGCCATCAACAACCCATTTATTACAAGAAAAGCTTCACGGTGAAAGTATTCATGTCATAGTAGTATGAGGGGATGGCACAGTCTGTACATCATTCTAAATTATGCCAGTAGTCACTACAGATAAGATCTCTACTTCTTTCCCTACATATACTACTAAAATCAGCAGAACTCATAACAATTTGGTTCAGGATATAAAATTTATCTTTTCTAGCAGGCAGGCAGCCAGGCAGTATAAAAAACAAAGTGAGACTTCTCCAAAAGGTTCTTCTCTAACTTTGAATTTCAAAGGAAATTTTACAATATTTTCCAAACAACTGAGGTCAGTCGCGCTAGGCCAACCACTCTGCCAAAAGCACAGAAGAGGAAGAGATAATTTCTAGTCATCAATAGTGACAGATTAACAGTTTCATCTCAGTAACTCCAGTTTTTCACATACAGCATCAGGTAGTGCTATATGTATGAGAGTGCACAAACACCATTATTATAATTCAATTTTATTTAGAAGAATAAAACACTAAAAACTTAAATGCACTCTACATTTGGAATATATGCCAATATCAGCACATGGACCAAAAAAAAAAGGTAAATGAAACAATATACAAAGAAACAGTACTGGTACTGTGGAACAGTTCAAAGAACATTTTAGCAGAATAGGGCTGTACGTTGCTACCCTTTTTCATTCTTTTCAGAAAAGAAATAGATAAACTTGAGAACCTTCCTGAATTTGGAACTGACCAGCTGAGAAATTTGGTGGAGAATCTAGATACTGTTCCCCTCTGTTTCTAATGGATGTCATCTACCACTGATGTACATAAAGCTAAAGCCACTTTTTAGTCACAACTGAAGTAGACCTGTTGCTGATTTCACAAGTCCCATTAATTCAGTAGGTCTGCTTCAGTTAACAATAACAACAGGACTTAGTCTTATCTTCCCTCGGCCTAGTATTATTTGACATTTTCATAAATGTCTGAATATGAACAAAGTGTGACTGCTTGGAAGCATGCCCATGAACTTTTAGATATTTTAAACACACACAATGCAATTAGAGGCACAATGTGATTGTGAATTGTGAGACAAAACACAGAAAGTATGGACATTCCTACATAGGCATTAAGGCGATTTCATTGGCCATAAAGGACTATGACTGGCTTCCAAAGAAAAAGTTGTGAGGTCATAAGGAGGCATTTTATTTGTACATTTTTTTTGGGGGGGCTGCTTTCTAATATTCGGGAATGGAACAGTCAACTCGTTAATTCTTTATGTCCTAGTATGCTGCCTTCTAAAATTAATTCCATGACTTTTTATCCTCACAATCTCATTTTCTTTTTGTTATTCTATTATAGCCGACATTAATACGTTGTATTAATTTGTTCTGGCCATTTCCTTCTATTGATATGCAGCTTGTACAGCCCCAAATTGTATCAATATATGGGGAATGCTTTTTTAAAATGGCAGTAATATAAACGATATCTGACAATTTTGAAGTGAGTAAGGGGGAAAAAAGTCTTTACGATGACCAGTGCCACATTTAACAATGCATTTCCAAACTGTCTGGGGCCCATTACTTATGTTTACATGAAATCTCAGGAGACAACTGCAAAGATGATATCACTAGATAAAGTGGACAGCTAAAGGCTCTCTAAATTAAAAATGACATTACCTCACTGGTTAAAATTGTATGTCAGCTTTGGTATATATCAAATTGAAAATAAAGCCGACACTGATGGTACTGTAAGCATTAACATATGTGAAATATTGTTCTAACAGCATTTCCTCTTATATATCTGATGTTTTAGTAGCCATTGATCAGTGTATTAGTGCTGTAGCCCCACTTCAAAGACAAGGAAGCAAAAAGAGGAAACGTTCACTTTGAGATAGTTTTGCATGTAGCGAAGCTGGCCTGACCATATATATATATATATTCTGAATTAAGATTTTTCTGCTCATTCCATGTCTCAGGACATAACAGAAACGTTAATTGCATTTTGCAGATAAGAGAGACAGAACAGAGGCAACTATTGTGGGTTTTGACACCTTCTCAGATTACTTATGCATGCTTGTTTACATATACATCATTTCTCTAAATCTTGAAATATTTATTGAAAAGTAAACTGAAAGCAACAAGGGACAAAGCTACCAGCTGCTTTCTAAATTTAGCTGATCAGCTGCCTGATATACAACCCAGCTGAAGCTAAAACACAAGGATTTAAGCTGGTGTTGAGCCAAAATCTGATATTGATATTTTGAGAATAGGGCTTGTGTATATCAATACAGAAATCTGGCACATGTTGATGTGGTAATGAGAGCGACCTGCCATATCTCCAATTCACATTCATTATATTCTCGCTTAACCACTTCTTGTTATCTTGGAGTGTCAGATCTGCCCAAGCTTAGGATGTGTTTGAAGCAACTACCTATGAAGCTATGAAGCATGTGAGACACATTCTGTATAGATTTGACAGCAGTAGGTTGTGGGGAGAACAATTCTAGCTCAGTGGCAAAGGACATCATTTGCATGCAGAAGGTCAAAGGCCAAATTCCCAGCATCCTCAGTTAAAGAGATTCACAGGTAGCAGGTAACGTGAAAGGCTCTGCCTGTCACCCAAGGGAAGAAGTGCCAGTGAGAATAGCTAACAACGAGAAAGAAGGACTGCTGGAATCAACTGGGGAATCAGTATGTTTAAAAAAGGTGAGGGGTAAGGAGATGAGATTGTAAGGGAAGTGGAGGGGGGAAGCATGAGAAGTTTGAAGGGGTGTGTGGGAAATGTTTTTCAAAAATTCACTTAGCTCTTTCCTTCTCTCAAAGGCAATAAAAGTGGGGGATGGAGAAGAGGAATAAAATAACCGATGTGATTATTTTTACCAGTATGGCTTTATTATAACTTCAACTTGTGAGCCAGTGAGGTGCAGTGGAAAATTGGGGTCAAATCCCCACTGGGCCACAGAAACTCACTGGGAAATGGATGGCACTGGTAAAGCTACTTAAACATCTCAAATACCTTGAAATGCTATTTGTTAGAGTCACCATAAGTTGGATATGACTTGATAGCACATAACAACTTAAATGGTGATTTGACATTACCTTTCTTGTTAAAAATGTATCCCTTCCAACTTAAATGTAACTGATGTAGATTTTTGGGCTCACTGACAGTTGACTAAAGTATTAATCCTTTTCTACTAATTTTCCCGCCTCTGGAGCAATAATAAAAAAATACTGCTTCTCATGCCATTTGTGTTTCTCATAAACTACAAAGCATAGAGATGAAATTGTCAAGACCAACATTTGAACCTCTGGTGGCTGTTGGAAAGCAGCAAATGAAGTTGGCAGCAGCACCACGGAAACAAGAATAATTCTAAGTATCCACAAAAGAACATGAAGGGTTTCCAAGTATTGATTTGCAGCAGAAATGAGCAATTTCGTACATTATGTTGCATTATTTATTGGAAGCCCTTTTGAATTGCCTGTGAGAAATGTGAATCAAGATATCCCCAAGATAAATATATACTGGGTATATCCAAAGAATTACAGCTCAGTTTTAAGTGACATTAAGAACTAAAGCATCAAGATTAGGATTGGAAAGACATAGATCAAGGCTAAACAGTATTCTTGCTGAACAGCTGTTATCTAACAAAAGGTATTCTCTTGTAAATATTATTGACATAAGCCCTCCTGTCTAGGACTCTGGTGAATGTGCAGGAGGCTGCAGTAGTTAGGGCCCTTTAGTCCTTTGTCCCTGCACACTGTTCTGGATTGGGAACACTGATCTGGGTGGGAGACCTGCAACATGTCTTGGAACAAGAGTACTGATTGTAATGAATGGATCCATTTCTGCCATTCCTTACATTCCCGGCTATTAAACTGATAGTCTGTATACACAACCACAACTGCACAAAAATGATAATGTTATTTTGGACTCAGGGTTCTGCAATTTGCAGGAGTGTCAGAGATTCAGGAGAGAATGAAGATCAGTCTAGAAATCACACTAAAGAGGTGTAATGTCGTTATATCCACTTGCCAGGATTGTCTATAATGGCATTTTGCTGTTGTTTAGTCGTGAAGTCATGTCCGACTCTTCGTAACTCCATGGACCAGAGCACACCACGTCCTCCTGTCTTTCACTGTCTCCTGGAGTTGGGTCAAATTCATGTTGGAAGCTTCGATGACACTGTCTAACCATCTTGTCCTCTGTC